CACTTTTTCTTGAGCCACAGTAGAGCGGAATACATGTTCAGTTTCAACAGTTTAAGGTTCTGGATTTCGGATTTAGGGTTTAGGGCTTGGGGGTTTGGTGATTTTCGGATTTAGAGTTTGGGTTCTAGGGATCCGTGCGCGAGGCTTCTCGATGACACTTCTCCAACTGGGGGTCGCTTGGTTGGGGGCTTTTCTCAGATATATGAGGCTTTTTACACTCAAAATTGCCACCGCAAAAAAATGCAGATGCCAGCTGTCTGTGAGGGCTTTGTGAAAGCAGTCGAGCAGAAGTATCGTCAGAAGGTCGAATTGCGGGCTTTGGGGGTGTCTGAAGTATGGCTGCCGGATTGGGAAGGCAAGGTGGAACATGTTGATGACTGGGTTTGGGGATATAGGTGGGGCTCGCAGGATCCATCACCTATACGTCTGTGGACCTTCTTTCTGTTTAATGGCGAGCTGCTTATTCCTTTCGTGCTTGTGAGAGGAGCCCTTGCCCATGACATGTCTGGCGACGTCCGGGTTTCGTATGGGTTCAGCAAATTCAGGGTGTAAGTTTCACGCTTTAGGCTGTACAGGGTTTGGATTGTCATGAGACATTCTGGAAGCGTGGCCGTGCGCGCTCCCCCCGAACAAAACACGCACGACGACATTCTTCGGGCACTCCGACAGCATGTTGGGAGACCGCAGGCTGCAAAATACAGCCACTGAAATCTCGAAGAATGTGAGCGTGGCGGGGCAGCATTTCTTCCGCTTGCGAGCTGATGAGCTTCTGGACTTTGAGTGCTGTTCTAGCGCAGGTCTAAGACCCGCGGATACTGAATCTTGCTCTCTACTTCGCACGACCCTAGGATTCCTTCTGGTGAGGGAACATTGCGGAGGCTTACAATATAGGGTTATAATGTCTCACTCTTTTCTGTGGCCCTCCAGACGCGCAACCTGCTTTTCGCATCGGATCCATAGGATGGTCGCATCTTTACCAGCTGCGCTGGCAACAGATGTATACCAGAAATGCAGGCGTCTGCGCTGCCCGGCTCAGAGATCGTCCCCCACTCAAACCAGGGTCATAATCGAATTCATACAATGAATACAATCCTGGATATCTTCGGTTGCGCACAAATGCTTCCACCCCGTCAGTGGTTACAGGTTTTAGGCTGGTTCCAAAAAATTGAAAGTTCCCCCTCCGAGCTTTTGCATCCAAGCCATCACGAATCACCATGCCCTAGCTACCGCAACTCTGTACAAGTCAAGCGTTCGAGGTGCAACTGCTCTAGCATCTACACTTCGCGAAAGAGTGGAGCATTTGTTTATGAAGTCTTCGGGCATCTGGCACGAAAACGAAACTGGGTTCAAGGCGCAGTGTTTCTTCAGAAAGGCCTGCTTCATATCAAGTACCACGTGGCACAGCATATGAAATTTCGGATTGTATTTGAATCTTGGCAGGCGCATATTGTAAGCCAAGCCAGCACACCTCGTAAAAGATGCCAGCATCTCAGTTGCATGTCGCAGAATCCTCTCCAAACGCAGTCGCGGAATGAACAAGCCCGAATGGTACAGCAAGCTCATGAACTCGTCGGTGTGATATAAGCAGTTGGCAATCTCTTGAAGATAAAGCCTTACATCCCTTTCCACATTCATATCGGAGGTCAGGACCTGCTGGAATTTCCATGCGAGGTACCTCAAAACAACCACCGTGTCAGCCCCTTTGAACCAGGACCTAGGTTGCTTATCACTAGGATGGACATACATAAAACTTATACACACAACATATCATATAGAAGATCCATTCCATCAACAATTCAAGTTACCCAGTAGGGAAGTCTGCGCTGGAACTCCAGCTCAGCAAAGTTCGCGTCAGGCCAGTCATGTGGAGGTACAGATCCCTTTCTGCCGCAAAAGATTTCATCTCGGCATAGATGTGCTCCAAGCATTTGACAGCACCAGTCGCATGCGAACCAGAAAGATTGAAGTCCAATAGGGTTACCTTACATGGCTTAAGCTTGAGGGCTTTAAAAATTAGAAGGGTTCCCGGTAGGCATTCCAGTGATCATCCTCATAGATCATTTCCCCAAAACCGAGCATGGAACAGTTTATACATAACTATTATACAAAGTCAAACTCCAAGTCAAACTCCAAAAAACAGCCTTGAATAAGCTAGGCATCAATCGCCGACCCAGCAAGATCCGCGTGAACGCCCTTATGGCAAGTATGAAAGATGTCCACCAAGTAGAATTGTGGTTTCAGCCCAGGTTCCATGGGGATCTTTCTTGTAAGTCCAGATTCTTGGGTTGGCTTCCAAGGGAGTGGCGAAGAGCCAATTGTAGCAATCCACGGCGCAGTTGTGAGGTCATGATGGTGCCACTCCGGGCACTCAGAAGAATTCGCCAAACATAAGTGGCAAATTCCATGTCCAAAAGGGTAAGCTTCTCTAGCAAAGCTGCGATCCAAACGACCTAGCTTGGATAGTGCAGGCCAGTCCCCCTTTAATCCTACAACCGCCAATCGAAGCTCGATGGTGCTGCCTTCATGCTGGATGCGGAGGCCGGAGAAGCATGTACTCCAGTCATCAGACCATTGATTGATTAGCTCGTTCAAGCATGTTGCGTCTTTGCTATAAAGCTTTTTCGGGACCACCGTGAAGAGCTGCCTGGTTTTGTAAGTATTGCCTCGAAAGTTCATCTTGACAGGCTCTGAAGTTGTGATTTCGTCCTCAGCCTCGCATCCATAGCCAAGCACCGGCTCGGATCCAAGCACCATGATTTGGCCCTTTTTAAAACCCCTACCTTCGTCCGCAAGCAGATACACAGGAATTATATGTTTCCAGGATTCTTTGGGTAGTCTGTAGACTGGATGCTGCGGGCGCAAAGGTCGCAACTTTTCCCAAAAGATTGTTACGCATGATAAAGGCTGGCCACCAGTGAGGTTACACAGCTTTCCATTGTCTGCCAGGGATTTGACATAGCTGCTCGGGAAAATCACAGGGTGTTTGCAATCAAGCCCAATATCAATGTCAGTCACTTCCAGAGCAGCCATGATGGTTGGCACCAATTCCATAGCCGCTCGAGTTCCACTAGCAGAGTGCCTAGTAACAAAAGCACGATGCATGTTCTGAACCAGCTTTGCAGATGGAAGCTGTACTGTAGAGTCCTCCCCAAAGGTTGCTGCCACTTCGCATTGAATAGCATGGGCCATCTCGGCAACCATCTCATGAGAAACCTTTGATGCAAAGACCACTGCTTGTCATCAAACCCCTATAAATATTTTAATGCTTCCACGACCCTTTTGTGGCCCAGGCTGAGATCAATTTGGGATTCCATGGTGACGAGGCGCAAGTCTCCATGCAGCTACACTAGTTATCCCGAATTCAACAATTTTATGGGACCCAGTGCAAAGCCAGGGGGCACCTTTGGTTAAGGCTTTAGCCAACGCATATCCAATAGGCCCACTGCTCGATGATCTTGCACTTGCCGCGCTAAATGTAGAGCTCGAGGACAAAGTACCTGCGGGGGTTACAGTCAAGGGGTTACGTGGGTTTCGTTTTCCATTTACAAGACAGGTGGAATTATCAAGGGTCGGCTTGGGGACTTGGGTTGAGTATTTGGTGGGAGGATGTGGCGATGCAAGCTGCTGCAGTAAAGCGCATGCATTCATATGCATTCTTTGTGACAGCGATGTGCTCTCGAACGCACGGCACGTGCAATGCACATGGTCCCCTAGAGACTGGCAGAGTGACTAAAATCACTGCAGGCCGATCTATGTACCCAGCAATCATGATTGCACGATTGCAAAACACTTGGGAGGCCCTACTTCTTCTTGGCCTTCCCTTTGCTCTTGGCGGCTGCACGTTTCGGAGCCGCCTCCTCAGGTGCATTATCCGCCGCCCCGCGGCCCTTAGCACCCTTCTTGGTGCCAGCTTTGGCAGTCAACACAGTCCTGGGCAGGTTTGAGGTTATGGGTTAGGAAATTGAGGGATAAGTGTGGATTTCAGCATCTAGCTATAGCTGAGGGCATGTCGTTCGGATTTTTTTTCCTCCATGGTCATCCGCGAAACCCTGACACACACACACACATGTCCATGTTTCGCAGGAATTCTTGCACTAACCACCTTGAATTCAAACTGCTAAGCATGAGACAGCTTATTCACGGAAGCCACCAAGCTCGCCAGCTTCCTGAGAATAGTGTGCAGGGATTGGAGGACTGCAGCGATATGACATTGGGATCTACATGCTGCAAAGTAGCTTGCCATCAATCGTTTCATCAGAATCGCGCGCTGACTTGATGTCGGCAATAGCATCATGCTTGTTGTCCAATTCCGCCATTTGCTTCTCCAGCTTACTGGCATGCCTCACCATGGCAGCTACTACTATTACGTAAAGTACCATATCAGCTACACAAACTCGAACTTGTATTGTTGAATGTGCTCAGCCCACAAATGCTCGAAGAGGATCAAGACCCCACTCGGAAAACATCCTTCATAAATCAGTGGTAGGGTTTAGGGTTGAAGGTTTATAAGGGTACATATATATAATAGGGTTTATAGGGTTGTAGGGCTCCAAGTCCGCAATCTATGAGGATGACATGGATACCCAACAAAAAAAGACATATTCTAATCTCGCTAGACCACTCCCCAGCACCAACCTCAAGGCAGCGTTGGTAAACCTGCTTGCTCTTCTTCTGCTGCTTCAGGATCTCATCCAGAACCTGCGGTACGCCATCCATGTCCTGCAGGGAAAGAGGCCCACAGAGTTCAGGGGGATTTCAGATTTCAGGAATTCCAAGTGTTATAGGATTCGAGAGTGTAGAGGATTATAGACATTCAATATGAGTGCGTGTAATCACCATGGAGGCCTCATCTGGCATTTCCTCTTCAACCTCATCTCGCTTACGCTTCGCTTTCCTGCCTTTTGGCTTTGGCTTGGCGCGTGACTTTTTGGTTTGCGGCGACTCACTGGGGGAGTCATCTCGGTTCTTGTCTGCATCCTCTGAGCCACTCTCATCATTTTCATCATCATCGCCATCATCATCGAAATCCTCACCATCACTAATGTCCGAGGGTGGCGCAGCACCACCCCTTGATGTTGCTGGCCGTGCAAGTCCCAGGGGCACTTTCTTGCTTGTACCCTCTCCGAGTTGTGTCTGCCTTTTCAAGGATTCCTTGTCCTCCTCTGTGCGTGTACCTGTGTACTTTGTGTCCACCCAATACCAAAGCAACTTCTTCTCATACTTGTCCTTCCTGAGTAAACATACTCAATACACACGAGCACATATATGCTTTCATGGCCCATGCAAAGCTAGGAGGCGTGCAAGATGTGCGTTGCTTTGTTCTCTGGCAGCAGACAGTACTTGCGAATTGCCCTGCGCCTCGTCCTGAAAGGATTATAAGAAAGTTGAACACATGTACTCATGATTTGCACCTCGAGAACTTGAGTTCGTCGATCATCATCTGATCCGTGTAGAATCCAGATTGGACTTCGAACTTGTTCGAGCGGTTCTGTTCATATTCGTGGCTCACCCTTTCCACGAAAGATTCCTGCGAGTGCATGAGGACTATATAGAAATTACTACATTAAGCACATGCATGCATGTTTGGGGAAGAACTGTGACGCAGCATCATGGTCCTTGTCACCTGCACACTCTATCAAAATCTTGGCCAACTCGCGCCGAGCTTTTTTCCCTTTTGCCCAAAGTTTGTGAATTGCTTCAGGGACACTGAATTCTTTCCTTTTGGATCCACTTATCATTCGCCTCACCCTTGCCTCGTACTTTAGCTCCTCCCTTTCCTTCAACTTCAGGGCCTTGTAAGCACATGCAGCTATAACAATAGAACCCCATGGATACGAAGCACCAATAATTCTTATAAGTGAAATTAATATTGCGGATAAGCTGCCATTGCAGAGAGTCGGGCTCGCTTGGGTGAGCACAGACGGGACGGCTGGGATCTAGCACGCTTCTTTTCAGGGGCTTTCTCAGGGGATTCTGACATGGTGCCATCCGGACCAGCAAGGATCGGCTTCTTCGGACTAGATTTCCATGGGGAACGCTTCGGCATGGATGGGGAGCGCTTCGGAGTAGCCTTCTTTGGGGAACGCTTCGGAGTTGGGGAACGCTGTGGAACTGGGGAACGCTTCGGAGTTGGGGAACACTTTGGAGTAGCCTTCTTCGGGGAGCACTTTGGAGTAGGCTTCTTCGGGGAACACTTTGGGGCAGGCTTCTTCGGAGAGCTCTCTGGCTCTGGGGCCTTCGCAGGGCTTAGGGGCTCGGGCTCATACGGGTCCATGCAGAGGGAAGGGCCTTCAAACACCTGGCTTCCCTCGTACTCAGTTGGTGTGATGGGCTCCTGCAGGGCAAGGTCCATATGAAGGTTAAATCACGCAAGGAATATTGCACATGTATTGAGCATGGCTTTTCATATGACACAGCATCAGCCTCCAAAATCAGCTTGGAATCCTCAGCCTGAGCGCTAGCATCCTTAGTTACAAATCCAAGGTATAGGTTTTGAATTTGCAAAAGTATCCTCGCAAAAATCACCTGCTTGCAAACCATGGCTCTTTGTTTTCACTCAAGTACTTTTCCAGGTTGCTTTTCAAACTTGCGGGGCTGAGCAGATCGTCTTCAGAGTCATCATTGTTCTTCTGCATTCGCCTACGCTTAGCCTTAGCCTTTTCCCAGGCGCTCCAAAGTAGGCCCAGGAGGTAGACATTTGGTTATGACCACAAAAAATGGGGTCAAAGGCAGATGTAAGGCCAACGTTCACGATTTGAGGAGTCATTCCTAGAAGACAATTTCTTGAAAATCCGATAGTCCTTGCCCATTAAGGCCTTGTAACTATAGGACCCCTAAACCTTACACCCTAAACCCTAAACCCTTTTCGGGGGTCTAAGTCTAGAAAAAATACCTGCATTGGGCCCCAAAATCTATAAATGTTTTCTACATTAGGCTATTTGGAGTAAACCCTAGACCCTAAACCCTAAATGGACCCTAAGCCCTAAGCCCTATACCCTAAACCCCTAAACCCCAAAACCCTCAACCCTAAGCCCTAAACGGACCCTAAACCCTAAACCCTAAGGCCCTAAGACCTAAACCGCGTGTTAGGAGATTCAGGATTGAAGGGCTACAGGTTGCGGGAATCAAGTACTGAATCTTGAACTCCCAACGTGCCCAGCATTTGATTTTTTCTAATCGCGGCTGAGACGGATGAGGTACCTCGTGAGCAATCGCTCCTCCATCGCTGTGGATGGCATGACCACTGCAAGTTTCTTCCACTGATAAACACAATCCTCGTCCATAAACGAATGGAAGCTACGTGGGTTGATGCAAGTGCGCTCCATGTCCTCCTGGAGGTGGAGAAACACCTTGCCAGCGTATTAGAACTAGATCACACTAGATCCCAAGGCCTGAGGGTTGTCGCGGTTTGGAACACCCTAAACCCTTAAAATCAAAAGAATGTACATGATGCTAGCCCAAAGTCATGGTGTTTCGGCAGCACCTTCCACCGAAGAATACCAGATGATGAGGCAAATCTGGATAGCGCTGAGATGATTTCCAAGTGCTTGCGTCCGTGCGCAGCAGCACTTGCAGCTTGGGCTTGCGTCAGGTAGCGGCGGTCTGCCACCTCAAGTTCGTGAAGCCACAGGACCATGGTCCTGCTCGCCAGTGATCCCATCAGCAGCTCTTTGTCCTCGCGACAGCTCGCGTCAGATGCCAGCTTGTCGTGAGCGCAATTGTCCAAATACACAATGAACAGCCTCGTGCTCCATGCTTTCAAGCTCAGAGACGCGTAATCGCCTGCATCCGAGCTGCGGTCATGCAGCATGCCTTGCATCAGTATGGGTACTGAATGCCTTCGTGGAATATATGCAACAACTAATACACATTGCGTTCTAGTTTGGCATAGTTCGGGAAAACACAAAAACCGTAATCACCCTAAAAAAAACCCTAATCACCCTAAACCCTCAACCCTAAACGTGTCGTTAAAGACCAACACAGCCTTTACCGCTCCCGCCTACGATTGGGGATGATTAGGGCTTGTAAAGGGGTGTCTAATCTGAATCAAGAAGCTCAATCTTGGGCGTCTGTGACTTTGCCCACTGGCGGAAGCCCACGCTAGCAGCGCGCAACGCAGTCGAAACATCGGTGCTTCCCCAATATCCTCGGCTAAGGGACCCCCTTGTAGTGGTGTTTTTTTGGATTTCTTGCTGGTTCCGGGTATTACACTAGCTGGCGCTCGCTGGCACTGCAGTGTGTTGTAGGGTATTAGGGTTTAGGTGATTAGGGATTAGGGCTCACATTTAGTGAGCCTTTAGGCTACATAGTAATTAATTCTCCCCGAACCCAGCCCCGCAAGTCCTCACAAACTAAACCGCAAACAAAAACTAGTTGCACTCCGCCACGTCTCCAAGCTGTATCAGTTTTTCAAGAAGTGCTCCATTCAGGGTCTGGCAGATTCCCAGGTTAACCACATGCATTGAACACCACTTTAGCTGGTCACTCGGAGAGAAGCCTGTTAAGGCAATCATGGGGTTCGGCAGGGTGTCTGTCATACAGTTCACGATGATGTTGGGGTCGCTGCGCCGTGCAAAGGAGCGGAGGAGATTGCGTGACCACCTACAGGGTGCATTTTTTCCTGTTATTCGTTGGTATGCTCGTGTAAGGACGACTCTAAAATAACTAGATTAATAAGCAGACATCACCCAGCCGAGAAACGAGTGAGGACCTGAATGCGTGGCCTCGCAGACGTGGCACGCTTTAAGTGACCTCCACTGCCATGAGGCTGTAAGACCCCACACCTCCTTTGCCCACTTCCAGTCACCACGGTGTTCCACCACCACAGCTGGGCGACCTTCAAAGGGATCTGCAAATGAAGCTAAAACGGTTACTGTTAATCATGTGGTTTCATTGTAGCCCTGTACGGGGGCTCAGGAAGGAAACGCAACAAAAACAACCGCAATCATGGCCATGGCCTCTGGCTGGACCTGTGGCGGCGATGAGCTGCCCGGCCTTCTTTCGCCTAGACTCTGGTAGGGGTTCTCCAAAAGGGTCGCGTTCTGGATACCGACCTCCAAAAAGGACCTGATAATGTCAAGAACCTCTACCCTGGGGCTCCATGTCTATAAATAATATTGGGCCCCAATGTCTATAAATAGTACCTACATTGGGCTATTTGGAGCTCCAGGGTATATGTAACACATACATACCTACATTGTAGGGGCCAATTTTGCACCAGGCTACATTCAAGGACCAAGTGAGGCATTTGTAGATCGGCTGAAGGGTCTTGTTGCCAGCAATGCACAAGTACTCGCGGATGCTGCACAACGGGTACCGCTTCATTTCCTCTCCTGCAGTTGTGCAGAAATCTCATGAGCACTTTGCGTCATAGGGCCTGTTCCTTGAAAAATGTAACCCCTACCCCTGTTTCCTACAAGAATGTATTCCCCCTAAAAAACCCTGCTCTACATGCACTACCCATTGTGGAATAGGACGGTGGTTGGGGTTTTAGTAGGCCAGGCACCAGAGCTCACGTGGAGAATCGCATTCATAGTGAACAAGATGAGCTTTTCCCCGGCTTTGTTATATCGGGCATCGTCCCCCCATAATCCAAGCGGCATCGCTCCAACAGCTGCAGGTTTCTTGCCAGAGTGCGCCTCGATATGGCGCCAATAACGATCGATCGCCTCTTCAGACACTCGAAGGCGGCCGCTTTCCTTGGGTTCCCAAAAATTGAATCTACCGTACCTTGTTGGGGGCACCTGAAATGGGAATCATGTATTATTTGGCTGCATTTTGTAGGGAAGGTGTATTCCTGAACAATGTTCTGTATGACCCCAGTGGGGACTGTATATTGCTGCGAAAGAGTAATCTCCGCCCTTTCAGATACAATCTACTTGGAGGGTCAGGGGGCCTTAGTAAGTAGGTTAAGAAAGGGGATAATTAGGGTTACTCATGTGTTTCAGGGGTAAGTAACTTACTAAGTCCCCCAGACCCTCCATGTATCACCCCGCTAGAAGAAGGTTCTCCCAATTACCATACCATATATAGAATGGGGAAGCCCAATAATGTTGTTCTTGGAGGGTGTCAGTATAGCTACCAAAGGTAGAGCAAAGCTGCCACCCAAAAGCCGTACAACTCGTGTGGCAGAATTATCGGGCACTGATAGCGGATTTCAGACTTCCGGTCAGCGGGATCTCGAATCGGTACTTGCACATAGTAGAGCTCCTTAAACACTGTGAGTCAGGCAGATTTTGAACCCTAAGCCTGGAACCCTAAACCCTAAACCCTAATTATAAACCCTATGCCCTAAACCCTACATAAAATCAAAGCCGTCCAGTTTGCAAAACCAGCTGCGAGGGGTAATTTCAGGGCCCTGTTAATGTCACGGGCAATGTTTTGCTTGTGCTGCCCAAATTTGCCAGCCTTTGCAATCTTGTGGGTCAACTCGCTAGCTCGACCCCCTGACTCACGAATCATAGCTGCAGCGCTCGCTTGGAGAGCTGCTGCAGTGGATTCCTAGGCATACGCAAGGGATTTAGAAAATGCTGACTCAGGCCAAGTTGTTATAATATATGTTATAATGCAGGCACGCTACACCCGAGCCAATGCTTCGTAGCAAATGGTCCGCAAAAGCTGCATCACCTGCGAAGCGCAGATGCTTCCATGCTTCATGACTTGGGAGCCACTGCACGTGGTGCATTCTTTGGATCATGGATTGGAGGTCGCTGAGAGGTTCCATTGTCAACTAGCTAACTTCGAAGCACGGGCATGGCATGGAGTTACCTTGGGTTGGTCAGCTCTAGCAGGATATCGATAGGATTGAAAGTGGGTTCGGGGACACATTGCAATGTCAACATGTGAGTCTAGTTCTAGAGGTCTCTTCTAATGATCAGCCCTGGACCCCCTCTCCCGAGCAATGCACTCTAACCCCCGAATAATCAATAGCGAGGATTATTACGGGGTGGCTAATAAGGGGGTATTGGCAATGAGCCGGACCCCTTATAGTCTAAGGCCTCCACTATCTCTCTCTCTCTCTCTCTCTTTCTCTCTCTCTCTTTAAATTGCCTCTTTCTCTGGTTCCGATTTGGGCCTGTACGTTGGTTATTCTCACACACACGCTCTCTCTCCCTCTCTTCTCTCTACAAACCTGAGGGCGGCATTTTCAGCGTCCTCCTAGCCGGCGTGTCTAAGAGCCTAGAATAGCAATGTCCATCGCACATGGTACGACTCAGTTGGCAGCAATCAAGCCTCGCTCGTTTTATGTAGTTCCAGATTCCTAAGATCTTGTGTGCACTGGACAGCTCTCACAAACCAGGCTGGCACACGAGCCATTGCCATCGATCCTCACTTTGTGGCCCTACCCTTAGCTTTAGCCTTGGCTTTGCCGGAGGCCTTCGGAGTAGCTTTGGATTTGGCAGCGCAATGCATCTTTACATGCTTACTTGCGGTCTTGTAGGAACTCAGGGCCGCATTGGCAGCAAACAGCGCATTTTCCAAGTTCTCGCCCTGCTCCTGCAAGGCGAGCTGGTCCTTCCCAGGGCACTGCTAGATATTTGGCCATTGACAGCTGTAGCCTACTCTTCACGTTGGTCCTGAAGCTCTTCGACGCAACGTTTGATTGCCGAACCATGCGTAGCCATAGAGGCCACTAAGGCATCTAGCAATTCTGGCTGCCTCAGCTGCTCTACTTATTCCCCCATAGCCAATCGGAATGCACAGTAGAAAGTGATTATTGCAAGCAAGGAACACACTGTTCTTCGAGAGACGGGCTTTGTAGGACTTGATCTCCAACAGAGAGGCGTTACACGCAGACACAGCCTCATGGCACGTGCCAGTAAATGTTTGATAGGCTGAGAGGGCACAAGGAAAAATGACAACAAACAAATAAGGATCATCAAAGCAACTTTGTTCGCAAGCTGCTCAGTTGTTTTCTTCTTCACCTCTCCCGCTGTCTGGCGCGGTTTCTTTGCCTTTTCAGCATCTTCCACACTGGGGCCCCCAGCCTCATCAGGACCCGTGGCGCCTACATTACCTTCACGAGTATACTCGATCTGGTGCTTCTCGATCTCTTCCTTAACCAGCTCACCATCCACCCAGCACTTGAACAGCCGCATAGCCTTGCCAGGCGAAACACACGCATGTTTCTGCTGCATCTTCCTAGGCTTGGCCTGGTTGCCGGGGAAGTCTGGATGATCTTTGCAAGTGGCAGCATCACCAGCCTGGCACGGCTGGTTGAAACTCGTTTGGTAAGTAACGGGCTTGGTTTGATTCATTTTGGGACCCGTGCTGGTTAGGAGGAGCTTTAAACTAGGGTAGGTTATGTTGGGAGAGATTTCAAGGACATGAAGATCAGGTTTGCAAGCTTTGCTTATTCGGGTCTTGGGGCATGTGTACGATTGCACTTTCACCAGGAGTTTTGCTCGAAAAGGCTCCATACAGGCATGAGTGAATGGCAAGCGCACCCCAAACTCCCAAACGCATGGCCCAAAATCAATTGAAACAATCCCAACCTCATACCCCAAAGCCTGTACCCCAAGTCTTTACACTTGAAACCTTAAACCGTGCGATGCTCCCAAGAAGCAGAGTAGCCAAAGTAGACTTAACGAAATGGGCTTCAAACAGGACCTATATACCCAGACCTGAACGACCCTAAACTTCCACTTTTGCAGTTAATGGCTCCCATGGCTACCCGCAACTACTTACCAGCATCTGCTCCCTGCCAAGTCGACCCGATATGTTCGGCCCAACCTGCAACAGCCCGCATGACGACAATGAAAGTACATCAACTCTAACTCGTTTAAGGAGCACCTTGATTTGCCTGAATTCGAATGCTTGAAACCTTTGCAAGGTTAGACACGGCTGCTATTGATGGCGCCTTCTCCTCTATGAGGGAATCCACCAGTTGCTCGTCCTCGTAAATCTTCATCAGCGCCTGCAGGCTTAGGGTCTGGGGTTTAGGGTTTTAGGGTTTAGGGCTTTAGAGTTTGGGGTTCAAGATTAGCTAGAGCTGGAAGCTGGCAAGGCTTCTTAGATCACTATACGTATTTGGTATCACCCCACCCATCCTCCCAGAATCCCTTATCATTGAACTTGTTACCTGCTTATCTTCCTTCGCTCGCCACCGGCCTGTGTCCCTCCGAGGCAACAGCCTTCCAGCCCGTCTTTAAAGAGGTCAGGGTAGCTCGTGGTGGGAAGGGCCAAGGCCAGGACAATCGCGGTTTTGGTTAATGCACCACCCGAAATGGATCCAAAAGGACGCAGCTTTGGTTTTAGCACCGCCCCAAGAAGGGTTTGAAGGGGTCAAAAACGATGTGGTCTTGGTTAAAGCACCGCTCGAAGGAGCCCCGCTGGACCCAAATCCTAAGCCAGAAAGTCCGATTTGGTGGCTCCTGCGATATCAGATGAACCTGGCGAGATCCCTTGTTCCTGCTGCTGCTGCTGCTGCTGCTGCTGCGTGGGCTGCTGCGACTCCTGTGGGGCTCCTGCGACAAGGCATGAACCTGGCGAGATCCCTTGTTGCTATGGCTGCGCGGGCTGCTGCGACTCCTGTGAGGCTCCTGCGATAAGGGATGAACCTGGCGAGATCCCTTGTTGCTGCTGGCACTGCGCGGGCTGCTGCGACTCCTGCGGGGCTCCTGCGATAAGGGATGAACCTGGCGAGATCCCTTGTTGCTGCTGCTTCTGCTGCGCGGGCTGCTGCGACTCCTGTGGGGCTCCTGCGGATGAGCTTGGCAAGATCCCTTGTTGTGGCTCCTTCTGTTGCGCGGCATCGTTTGCATGGTCCGGCAGCTGCAACTGCTGCGGGGCTCCTTCAACAGTTGGGGGGTTTGGCGAGATCCCTTCCTGTGGTTCCTTGCCCTGCGGAGCTCCCGCTGGGTCCTTGCCTGCCCAATCCTCATCAGCATCTCTTCTGTCCTGAGGTGTGTTGATAATTGACTTACACCGCCAATTCGTCCAGTGAGGTATGCTGATTTTGCCTACTTGGGAGATCATGTGTTTGAGAATTGTTGTCCTCAACAGAAAGCTCAGCCTGGAGTTCTTGCACCAGCTCATCAATCCCAATTTCATCCTCTTCCGCTATGGTATCAGCCTGGGTGTCCGCCATCTGCTCGGCATGGAGTGCTCTTGCCTGAACAGACCGGACGGTAGGGATGGACAAGCTGCTTGTAATAAAAAAAATCAAGCGCACCAGCGCCTGTCTCACTACTGCTGGCGTAGCAGCAGAGGTCGCAATAGAGGCCACACTTCCAGCGCGGGGTAGTCCCATAGGGAATTGCGAAGCATCGCCTGCGTGGCGCGAGGAATGTGTGAGGCAAATACGCTTTGTCCATCAACATCTCCAGCATTAAGTCAAGTGGCTTTCGAACAGCTTTTTGGGGGTTGTCCACGCTGGTCCTTTCGAATGCTTTGCGTCGGGAGTCTTTGCGCTTGGGGTCTGGAGGCTGACGGTGCTGGGGCTTGGTCTCTCCCTCTCGCGCTTGGTGGGCTGCTGGTGTGGTGTAGCTCCCAGACCAGGCTGGGGAGAAGAAGAGGTTTCCATTTCCACTGG